TATGTGTGTGTGTGTGTGTGTGTGTGTGTGTATGTATAAGTATAAATATATATATACCTTACTCTATATAGATACTAATGACAAACTCTATATAGATACACTACCCATATTACACCACGCCACACATCCCATCCACTCCACTTACATCTTCATCCTGCCTCGTCCACGTGTTCATGCTCTCTTTGAGCCAGTCGTAGTGCACTACACACACAGCCGTCTTGAGCTCGGCCGCCTTCTTCACCTTCTCTGTGCTGCTGTTAAGGGCCACCACGTGCGTCACAAACTCGTCTAGCACCTCTACACACACAGCCCCAAAGGAAGTGGCCTATGCCGGTGCGTAAAATAAGTTAGTATGCGTGTGGTATGAGGTTTTACTACGCGTGTGTGCCTTTTCCGGTGTGAATACAAGTTAGTATACGCGTATGATATGAGGTTTTATTACGCGTTATACCTTTTCCGTAATAAATAAGTTAGTATACGCGTAAGATATGAGGTTTTACTACGCGTATGTGCCTTTTCCGTTATGAATATAATTTAGTATACGCGTATAATATGAGGTTTTACTACGCGTGTACACCTTTTCCGTAATGAATAAACGTATGCGCGAGTATGTGATATACTGGACACACAGCCTCCACGAAGTTGTCTGTGAGGGATTGACCACAGACACATCTCATATCAACCAACCCACAACGGAAGATGTCCCCAGACACTGTGTCGCCACATGCCACCCACACCATACTACCCTGCTGACATGCTACACAACGTACACGTGCGCAGTGTATCTCATAATCCATACACACAACACAATACACATGGTACAGGCAAGCGGCTCATAGATACGGCTGTATCGGCGTATGTAGCCCACTTCGGAACTGCGTTATTGGGTGTGTGGGGGGGGTCCTGATAGGTATTAAGCACCCGCATTACCATTGCGTACACATACAAGACATAATCAACCTTGTACCTGCGTACAGAGACCCCAATCCACGCGTGCATCCGTATACACCCACATATCTATACACAGGCCTGGATAGGCCATACACACACACACCCCCCTCGTACACAAACCTTGATCCAGACGGGGTTGTGCTCGGGCACTTCCTTCCGAGGTATTAGTGAACTGAAGAGGATCGTGCATCCGCTCAGCACCTCTTTCCGTAGCACAGGTATAATGGCTTTAACGTTGGCGTCTATGTTGTATCTCCCGCGCGCTTGACTGTAGTATGAGGCGTGTATGCCTTTCAGCACCGGCTGTAGTGTAAGGTTTGAATCAGTCAGCCTAGATTAGAGGTCAGGACGAGAGAGCTGAGCTAGATTGGAACGCTTAAGAGATCGGTCGAGTTTGTTGAGTTGGATTTGGAAAGTGTTGTATT